TAATGAAAACAGAACTGAAAATTATAATACTACACTGCCATATCCAATAAGTTTAGCACAGCATACGAACAACAAGGGGTCCAGTCGGAAAATCAGTACTTACGCAGATTGCACAAGTTTTTCCTATAAGAAGCGGGCGACGCTCATTCTCGTGTGAAATTAGCCGCCAACTCTGATTGGCTGCTGTATTTTGTTTCTTTTATCGCTCATAACTTGTAATCAGGAATATTTGTGAAGACTAGAATATCTGCAGGATAACATCACGTTTACAAATGTAAAAAGGAATGGTCAGAAGCGTGTATTCTTCGTCGTATTGTGTCGAGTCGTATTATGGAGTTTAAAGTTACATTACATAATAATAATCAATCATCATCATCAGCCTATAAGTGACAACTGCTGAACTTTGGCATCTTTTCATACGGAAAATATTCACCACACTGTTCAAGGCAGATTACCAATTTCAAATTTATGATTCGAAATTATGAGTCCTGGTTTCCTCACGATGTTTTCTTGACCGTGTGTTAACAGTGCTCATGAATAAGAGTCCCGTTGTGACCAAAAACGAGCCTAAGCTTTTTTAAGTTAAATCACGTATGTAAATTGTAATTTTAATAAATTTAAAAAAGGTGTCTTACGTACCTATATACATAACTAACATAATCACTACATTGTATAAAACGAAATCGCTTTCACTGTCCCTATATCCCTATGTTTGCTTAAATCTTTTAAAATTACGCATCTGATTTTGATGAGGTCTCTTTTAATATATAGATTAGAGTGATTGCAGACAAAGTTTGTATAACAATATTTATTAAACAATGGAGAAAAGTATTAGCATTGCAAGGCTGGGTCGCAAACTAAGATATTGTGATCATAGTTAGCTTAGGCAACAAATATATAATCATTGTAAATGTATAATGACGTCACAGTCGTCAACATGACATGTCATAACATGCTAATGCTAGTTCAACAGTGTAATTATCAATGACAGGTAGTAATCTGGTCTAATGCTAAGTAAACACCTCGCTGTCACCTTGCAATTAGTTACACAATATATGTATGGGCACAGTGCTAATAAGTTTGATTTATATTGTGAGAATACTGTTGGTGGGCCAACTGGTTGCCGCGCAACCTGTCGTGGGCTTGATTCCCGCAAGGTACTCTTTTTGTGATCCACGAATTGTTGTTCTGGGTCTGAGTGTGAAATTGTATATTTATAAACGCAACCACGGCACAAGAGAAAGCCCTAATGGAGGACGAAGATATTTTTAATTGGGCTTATTTCTATGCTAAAATATTACATTGTAAATATATACAGCTTATGCAAGTAACAAGACATTTTTTCTTAAGTAAATTTCTACTGGAATCTTTAACGTAACTGTGGGTAATTATAATGACTGATCTAATTTTGTATAGTAACTTTAGTGAGAGATACTAAATTATTTGAAAAAAGAGCTACTAGTTTCGTGACACTTATAATGATTCATGAGCTGCGGGCGCGTCGCAGTTATCGTTTTCAGCATTCTTTTCTCGGCTAATTCACTTAAGTAAATCTTTTTTATCAATAATAATAATTCTAGATTTATCTGTAGCAATTTTTGACCTAGTTACACTACGTTATAGGGGGAGATAGAAGGGGGGATATATTGGAGAGGTTTGCCATAATTATCAATCTTGGGAAGCAGACTAGAGATCGCACATTAAAAATCACTTTTATCAGATCACATTCCAAAGTAACTTACACAAAATCAGCAACACACAGAACCATATCAGGTTCCTTTAAAAATATCAAAAGAGATTTAATCGAAGCGATCACCAAGAAGCAGTAATCCCAATAGAATTTCCGACTCATTCCCATCGAGTTAGTCGACAATAAGATTTAATTTTGTCGACAGCATGAACGACGTGTCATCTGTTTACCGACACGACGCGACGGTGATCGAACGCCCCTTGGGTATTAGACGTTACGAAAATGGGAAAAAATGCTGCGTCAAACATTAATAGGATATTTTGTTGATACTTTTTAAGATGTTGAACTTGATTGTTGGCGTCGTCAGTCCCTAACTTTTTAGATACGGTGCAATGCAATCTACTCTCATTGAAAACTGGTTTTTGATATAATATTTTGAATTAGTAAAATAAGTGCGGGAGAGTCATGCTTCAGCACGAAATAATCGGCACGACCGGAGTGATAGTGATTCCGCCGCCGTTGTATTTCGCCGTATAACCGTCTAACCGCTAATACCTAAATCTCCATAACCATTATCTCGAAAAGTTTAGCAACGCACTCATGACTCCTCCGTTGTTGCGGGTGTCCATGAGCGGCGCTGGGTACTTACCATCAGGTAATCCGTTTGATCGTTTGCAGAACTATCACATAAAGAAAATGGTTTTTGATCTGATATTTTTCAGAAGTCAAATAAATGTGGGAGAGCTATGCTTCAGCACGAATGAGTCGGGTCGAAACGCACAGAAAACCGGCGTAAAACAACCACATTATTGCGTTTTACTAATTCAGTTGGGGGAGGGGTCCCCTAAGGATTGGGTCTCCAACCCCCTAATCCCTAAATCTCGTAAACCCTGGGTTAAACCTTGGAGTTACGAGTGCGTTGCCAACCTTTTGGTGACAAATCCCCAACTCCTAACTAACTTCCCCGCTGTTGCGGGTATCCATGGGTGGCACTGATTGCTTGCTGTTTGACGTCCTATCACATAAAAAAATAAAAATTCAAGACGTTAAAATTAATTATTCGTAGTACCTACTTAAAGTGAAAAGTAATAGCAAAATAATTGTCGAATCCTATAAATGAAATACATATATAGGTAACGATATCTAACCCCAGCAACGCCAATAAACGTTAACAGATGTAAGCTCCCCATTAACCTGTCCGAGCAACAATCATGTTTCTACAATTAGCTGTCCAAACATATCCCGGTGTATAAAATCTTGGAGCATTGTCGTCTAACAACCGGCCCTGTCCGGTCCGGATCCGCGAGGTTACGTTTATTTACCCGCCGGTCGTCCTCTGTTTACTTAGTACGGCTCTCATTTACGAAAATAGACGTCCGGCGAAGCCTCGTCTGTCTTATTTGGATAATGCTAAGCAAATATGTAGATTTGCAAGCATTACGTGCCCTACCAGTTTTTGTCAGCTTTAAAAATGCATGAAGTTGAGTCACCCTTTTATCTATCTGCGAAGTCTACATTCATATATAATTTGTTTGACTAAAAAATTAGGGATTTCATTACGCCCTCTTTAAAGAGGTTTCGTAGTCGGTTTTTATAGTATATTTTTTACATATTTTGTATATATATCCTGCCGGAAAGCGATGTTGGCGCGACGCCGAGATACGACAATAAAATTTCACGGGACATAAAGCAAAAACACACCCCAACGCATTACGGCCACATTATCATGACCTGCCAATATCCGTGGAAGCTCCCCTCGCTCGTGCTAATTTTGAAGATACGGGGAGAGGAGGGGGTGTCTAGTTGTGTGGTACATAAAACACATCTTGTTATGGTAGTACGGAAATCGAGGAACTTTAGTCGGATGTTGAGATAACAACTATGAAAAGTAGAACTATAACAGTTCACGTTTGGTTTAATGAACATTATGTTTGTCTGTTTTGATACGCGATATATTTGGGGAGAGGCGCGTTAGTCTTGTCGCGGATTCGGTTGCGATATTTATGTCACTCTTTCCTTTTAATTTAAATTACATTCCTTTACTGGTAAACTGGCTAATTGGCAATGAAAATACATAACAATGGATAGGTTAAATTTTGTTTTATAACTTTACTACTGTTGCTTTCCCAGTTTCTGCCAGGTATAGAGGGAACGTATCAATATGTTTTTAACTAAACAAAACTATATTTTGCTATTTTTTTATTGAATAAACCTGGTGGCTACTCATTCAACGACCTTCATTAACACGTATACGCCACGTAGGTCACTGGTGACCTAAGGTAGCGGAGTATTTGCCTTCAATAGTTCTTAGTCGGGAGGTTAAGGCCTAAAGAAAATCCTCTGCGGGCAAATAAATACAATTAAGTTGTAAAATAAATAAAAAAAGAGAACCGTTGAGCTCTTAATGAATAAAATAAATGTTACCCAAGTATAAAAACTTGGTAAAAATAAGTCAATCAATACTCTCCTCCGAAGGTACACCAAACTTGTTCCAGGACAAGAAGTCTTGATACTTGAGAATAAAAATAAAATCTCTTGGCTGTCAAACTTCTAATATAATAGCTACAAGAATAATGTGTAAGAGCTGTAAATATATTATAACTTCCAATTGTACGTTTAAGATGACCAATAAGGCAAAATGCCTTTACAGAACAACACAATATTTCCTTATTTAGGTATGATGCTCATGCCTTTGAAATTACATAATAAAAGTATTTGTAAACGTGACCTACACTAGAGGCGTAGTGTAGGGCGCCCTCCAGCTAGCAGTGGTTGGATGAGAAGAGCTGAACATCGAGCTCAGTGGCGTGCAATTGGGGAGGCCTATATCCAGCCGTGGATGACATCAAGCTGATGATGATGACGATGAAACGTGACCAAGTCATACGAAACATTAAGTGCAAAGTTCATCTCAAAACGTGTTGGTAATGAGGCACCGCGACCTCAGCCCAGAGCAGGAGAAGGAACAGGGGGAATTTTTAGTCAGTAAGGGTCTGACACTCCCTCCCGCCCGGCCCTCGGCGGGAGAAGTCATTTGATGATTTTCCCCTCACAAAAAAACGTGTTGGTAAACGCATAACACCAGGACCTAAATAGCAAATATAGGACTAATTTGTAAATAGCAAATATCCGATGCTAAACCAATTAGAACATTTCGTGTAAAAACCTAAACGTGTTCTTATCATAATGTTAATATTTACTTCATTCCAAAGCATTAGTAGTTATAACGCCTTCACATATTTTTAACGCCGAAGGGTGTTTTATTTCTTTGATCGTGCTAATCTCCTAAACTTTTGGTTCTAATTGAACCATGGCTTTTGTATTGGATAATGCATTAGCAGAACAGGTATGAAACACGGCGCTACGACGAACCGACTAATAATGGTGACAAGCAGTGGCAGCAAGTGAAACGCAATATCGCTCTATGAAATCATCTTTTCACCAGTCACATTAAGATTTCCATGTAAAGACTGAAGATATTGCCGCCACCAAAGCGCAATTCTGGGTAAGATTAAAAATACTGAATGATGATTTAAATTATAATTATGTTAAGTTATTTATATAGATAGGTAGTAAGAAGTAGATTTCAGAATATTATTTGTTTCTTTTAAATTAGTAATAAGCCCACGAGTCATTATAAGGTGATAAGAGGGGGATTAGCAATCCCGCGGGCTATCCTGTACTCCAGGGAGAGTTATATTCCTTATATATTCCTTAACCAATAACCTCATTCAGACAACGAAACACAACGCTGAGATTGTTTCACGCCGTTTTTCTCTAAGGTCGTGATATCACTCTGATCAAGCCGGCCAATTCGTGTCGAAGTTAAGTAATATTTTGTTAGAATAAAATATTATTCTATAATAGTAACATCAAATAAACATGTAACTATGTATTGTCTGTGGCCTAGTTAAAAAAAAAAAAAAACAATAAATCTTACTTCCGCCATTGATTTGCTCCGAACACGTTCGTTTTTATTTCATTTCAATATTCTAATAGGTTATGGGCCCAGCCGCGCCCTATAGATTGATCAAACGTTTTCTTTAGCTATCATAGAAATAGTTATTAAAAGTGCGCGAGTGTTAAACGCCTGATAAACATAAGTTAGTGAAAATGGCTTCGAACTCATTCTTGACCAACGTGCCTAAGTTGAGAGGTCGCGAAAATTATCACGAATGGGCATTTGCAGCGGAGAATATGTTGGTGTTGGAGGGCATGGAGAAATGCATTAAGCAAGAAAGCCCAGAATCAGCATCCGCAGAGGATGCAAAAGCCAAAGCCAAACTCATTTTGACTATCGATCCCTCGTTGTATGTTCACATCAAAGAAGCATCAAGTACGAAGAATTTGTGGCAAAAATTACAAGCTATGTTTGATGACTCTGGCTTTGCGAGAAGAATCAGTCTATTGCGCAATTTGATTTCAATTCGACTTGATACTTGCGATTCCATGACTACCTATGTCACGCAATTAATTGAAACCGCTCAGAAACTATCAGGAACGGGTTTCAAGGTGGATGACGAATGGATCGGCTGTTTAATGTTGGCGGGTCTACCTGAAAAATACTACCCAATGATAATGGCGATAGAACATTCTGGAATCGCCATTACGGCGGACATTGTGAAGACAAAGCTGTTTGATATAGGAGGTGACAATTCCGAAACAGGAAATGCATTCTTGACCAAAGGGCAGCACAGTCGCGCTAGCAGAGGTCGCAGTGGTTATGTTGGTAGTCATGCGAAAAATCATGGCGGCGCAGTGTCAGTGTCTATGGCTGGCTCGAATGTAAATAAATCAGAAAAAACTATCAAATGTTATCGATGTAAACAGATTGGTCATTATAAATCACAGTGCAAACAGAATAATTCGGAAATAAAGAAGACACATGCGTTTTCGGAAATTTTCCTGAACGGAAATTATAATAAAAATGATTTTTATTTGGATAGCGGGGCGAGTCGTCATATGATAACAGATGTTAAGAAGATGAAAAACGTGTGCCATACACCGAATATCCCGGAGATAACGGCAGCAAATTCAAGTGCTATGCCCGTATTGTGCTCGGGTGATGTAGATATAGTGACAGTTACACCACAGTGCAAGTTTGAGGTTACATTGAAGAATACTTTGTGTATACCTAACCTCACTAATTTGATTTCGGTCAGTCAACTTCACAAAACTGGAAACAAAGTGCAGTTTGGTGTGAACAAGGCCCATATTTACAACAAAGACAACTGTTTAGTGGCAGTGGCACACGAGATTGACGGTGTTTATAAGCTGGATGTATGGTGTGAAGAAGTATGTTTGTTTACGACACCTTCGTCAGCCGCCACTAGTGAAGTATGGCACAGAAGATTGGGTCACTTGAATATGAATGACCAGAACAAGATGAAAGATGGAGCTGTCACGGGAATATCGTATACAGATAAGTCAGTGATCAACAAAAATACATGCACAGTGTGTTGTGAAGGGAAGCAGTTTCGCTTACCGTTCGGCCAAGGAGGAACGAGAAGCAGTGAGCCTCTAGATGTGATACACAGTGATGTTTGTGGGCCAATGGAGACTACATCAATTGGAGGAGCAAGGTACTTTCTTATTTTTGTTGACGATTTTACACGCATGGTGTTTGTCTACTTCATTAAAGCAAAAAGTGAGGTATTCAAATGTTTCAAGGAATTTAAATCATTGGTTGAAAACCAACAGTGCAAAAAGATTAAAATACTTAGGACTGATAATGGCTTAGAGTTTTGTAGTAATGAATTTGAAAATTACTTGAAGGAAGCAGGCATTATTCATCAAAAGAGTAATGCATATACTCCGGAGCAAAATGGTTTGAGCGAGCGAATGAATCGAACCATTGTTGAACGAGCTAGATGTTTATTATTTGATGCACGGCTAGATAAGAAGTTTTGGGCGGAGGCTACAAATACTGCCGTCTATCTTAAGAATAGGTCGATTGCATCAGCATTAAATAATAAAACTCCGTATGAGCTCTGGACAAATAAGAAACCAGATTTAAGCCATGTCCGTATATTTGGGAGCCCAGTGATGGTGCACGTCCCAAAAGAAAAAAGGTTAAAGTGGGATAGAAAAGCGAAAAAGCATATCCTAGTTGGCTTTGCGGAGAATGTAAAAGGCTATAGAGTCTATGATCCTGTAAAGAGATGCGTAATGACAAGCAGAGACGTCGTCATTCAAGAAAGTACAGATAGTAACTATTCAGAGGATAAAACTGTAACAGTTTCAGTTGGGGATATCCAAGCTAATATTGAGAGTACTGATGATGAGTTTAAAAAGGAAACAGTTACAGATTTAGATACTTCTTCAGAGTCAGAATTTTTTAATGCCTTGAATGACTTGGATCCTATGTTACAGCAATCTCAAGATGAAGAAGAAATAGTACAGGAACAGAAGACAGGACCACAGCAGTCAGCATCAGAGCATACAGTACCAGAGGGACCAGTCTTACCAGAGAAGAGGGTGAGGAAACAACCACAGCGTTACGGGTACTCAAACTTATGTACTTTGGGAAACTCAGAAAATAGCACTGATCCTGTGACCATCCAGGAAGCCCTGGCGAGCCCAGATAGAGACATGTGGATTAAGGCTATGCAAGATGAGATGCAAGCATTTAAAGACAATGAAGCTTGGACTCCAGTGAATGCATTACCCTCAGACAAAACTCTAGTGCAGTGCAAGTGGGTGTTTAAAAAGAAAGTCAATAGTGATAAAAGTGTGCGATATAGAGCGCGTTTAGTGGCCAAGGGTTTCATGCAGAGACCAGGTATTGACTATAATGAAACATTTTCGCCTGTCGTCAGGCATTCCACTTTAAAGTTGTTGTTTGCATTTTCAGCTCAATTAAATTTTGATATCACTCATTTAGATGTTTGTACAGCTTTTTTGAATGGTTATCTAAAAGAAGATATTTATATGGTTCAACCAGATATACATTGTGATCCTGTTAAGAAACAGATTATTGTAAAACTGAATAAAGCAATATATGGGTTGAAACAGTCTTCTCGCTCTTGGTATGAAAGAATAGAGCAATGTTTAAATAAATTAGAATTCAAAAAGAGTAGCTTTGAACCATGTATTTTTACAAAAATGAATGATAATGTAAAGATTGTGATTGCATTGTATGTTGATGATTTTTTTGTGTTCTCAAGTACTAACAGTAAAGTAGAAACTGATAATTTAATTTCTGTTTTAAGTTCAAAGTTCAAAATAAAAAATTTAGGACAAGTTCAACAATGTTTAGGCATGAGAGTTAAAATAGATAAGGAATCTAATGTTATCACTCTAGATCAAGAACAGTATGTAGAGCAATTACTTGAAAAATTTAATATGACAGATTGTAAAATTGCAAGTACTCCGATGGAATGTAAATTAGCTATAGATAAATCTGAATCTTGTGATAAAGAACTTCCATATCAGCAATTGATTGGAAGCCTAATGTATTTGTCGGTCCTCACTAGACCCGATATTTCTTTTTGTGTGAGCTTTCTTAGTCAATTTAATAAAAATCACACAAGTGTACATTGGAATTATGCAAAAAGAATACTTAGATACCTTAAGAAAACTAAGAAATTTTGTTTAAAATATGTGAAGGAAAAAGCTGAACTCATAGGATATGTTGATGCTGATTGGGCAAGTAATACAGTAGATCGCAAATCATATACTGGTTATTGTTTTGTAATGTCGGGCTCAGCTATTTCCTGGGAGAGCAAGAAGCAAAGAACTGTAGCTTTTTCAAGCATGGAAGCTGAATATATGTCTATTGCTGAGGCTTGTAAAGAGGCCATTCATTTAAGATCTTTACTTTTTGAACTGACTGGTAGGTTATTAACTGTACGTTTATGTAATGATAGTCAAAGTGCACAGAAGTTGGTGGCAAATTATGGATGTCATAGAAGAAGTAAACATATTGATATTCGTTATCATTTTATCAGAGATGCTGTGAGTGATAAAATCATTAACTTAGAATATTTGCCAACAACTGCTATGCCTGCTGATGTTCTGACAAAAGCTTTAAATCCTATGAAGCATTATAAATGTATAGAAGGGATAGGGGTTGGTTCACTGGAAAGTTAAATTGTAAATTTAGAAACGCTTTATTTATTTGCTGTAGTTGGGGTGTTAGAATAAAATAATATTCTATAATAGTAACATCAAATAAACATGTAACTATGTATTGTCTGTGGCCTAGTTAAAAAAAAAAAAAAAAAAAAACAATAAATCTTACTTCCGCCATTGATTTGCTCCGAACACGTTCGTTTTTATTTCATTTCAATATTCTAATATATTTATACAAAAAAACCAAAGCATTTTATTGCCACATTTTTAAGAATTAAACAAGTATCAACTCGTGTTGGTCGTCACAAGTTAATCTTGTAGAATTTTAACGTTTGCGTTCGTTAGTCTGTAATAAGACGGAGTTGTATCAGTCAAATATTGGTGCTGGAGCTACATCGTATTGATTGGTAGCGGTGCGTCGACTTATTATGAATTTCCAGCTTCTCTTGTCTGTAATTAGATAAATATGTAACGTTACTTAGATAACAAAACGTTGAACAAGAGGAAACTTTTTTTATTGGAAAGGTTGGCAAACGAATCACGCTTTCAAATCAATAAGTGCCGCCCAAAAACACTCGTTACACCAAAGAAGTAATAAGTTGTCAGCTTTTTGTGGATTATTAGACATTAACTGGAACTTTACAATAGGGAGGGGGGAAGATATTATTATGTGATAGGATAGAAAACGAGCTTCTAATTGTAGATGACATTTATACGAGGCATTATCTGATGGTAAGCAATTGCTGCCGACCATGGACTCTTGCAACAACAGAGGAGTTACGAATACGTTGCGGACCTTTTGGGGATTAGGATTTGGGTGATTTAGGAATTAGGGACGAGGAAGGATATGGCTCATTCACATGGCGAAACAAAATGTGGCGAAAACCGGAGTGAAACAACCACATTGTTCCACTCCGGTTTGTGAGGTCGTGTTTCCAATAGAACCGGCCCACTCGTGCCGAAGCATGGCTCTTGACTCATGACTCAAATAAAAACAAATAAGTAAATTATTATCTTTTCGGCTTACTCACGTAATAATTTGACGAGATACTCGACTAGTTTCGAGCCATGCTAGAGGCCCATATACATGAGCAGCATTCCGCGACACGCGATACGGCGACTCGACGTCGCGCTGCTACTATAATAAAAATAAAACAAATAAGTAGTTCAAAAATTAGTATTACAGTTAAAATGCACTTTAACTCATGAGGAAATTACATTGAACACTACCACAAACCTAACCTAGATACATAATACATATCCGTGCCCGCATTCAGCTTAGTCACCCAGTTACTCTACGTAACACGCCGGTATACGTCCGTCTTCATTAGTAAAACGCAATCACCGTGAACGTTCGCACCAGCACGCATCTACTCTGCCACTACCATTGGTCGAACTCGAAGGATGAGACTTGAGATTTTTAATTGAAAGTAAAATTTATAGATGTAACTTTAAGATTGGTTTTAGAATAACTATCGTAAGTCGCAATAAATTTGGCACGTGAAATATTTTAGAAAGGTTATACTAGTCGAATAAGAGTCTGTCATAGTGACTTGAAAGTAGTAGAATTATTCTCAGTCCTAGTCCACGTGAATAAGTCGATATTTCCAATTAATTATGGAATGTTTACCGGATCATGTCAACAGTGCATGACAGCTCACAGTTGAGCTATCCCTACGAGCACAGAACAGAAAATCTACGAGATTATCAAAGAGAGAAATTATAATCTACTCATGATCTTCATAGTGGTTAAAAAAGTTTTGACTTAATAGATAACGTTGCACAGTTGCAACAGTGGTTAATAAAAAAAATGAATTTGATTCGTGACCTAGCTTGCCTCTGGCTGCGACATCTCGTGAAGAAAATCTACTTCTTTAACTTTAACTTAATAATATTGACAGTTCAAAATGAAGACATTTTAATGTATAATATATAAACCAATACCACACCAAAGATTAACCAATTATTATCTCACAAAAATGGTTTAAACAAGTTGAAAAAAGAATTAGAACACCTATATAACCTATATAACAGACCTATTAACCGACCTTATATTATATCTTATCAGATTCTCCGAGCCAATTTAAATGTCTATTCGTTAACAAAGCTAATGAGAAAATCAGCGAAACGTCACAACTAAATACGAGTGACCTACATCGGGAGAATTGTACCACTAACAAGTTCCGAAATTAAGCTTCACTACTACGATGTGATCTGCATAATGAAATTTACTGAAATTGTACTATTTTTTTAATAAAATTAACGAAAATCGGTTTCCAAAACAGTGGGTGGTTAGTGTTATTATGCACATAACCGCGTTACTTGTAAACGAGGCATCTCGACTAGTTTCAAGTCATGACTGGAGCTCATAAAGATTTGACAGCAGGGAGAGAAAAGATGTAATGAATGTAAAATTGGCTTTTAACATTCGTAAATTTCATTCTGCTAGGAAAAAGAACTCCAAATTCTATATCAGATGCTAAAAAATAAGCTTAAAATGAAATAAAGTACATACACTGATCGATTGAAGATTGAACCGAAATCGTAGGCAATACTAACGAGGCTGTTACGATACCAATTAACTACAAAATTTTACAATTATTAAAAACTAAAAAAATAAATAAAAGTATTCAAACTCGAAATCTTGTAAAGTATCTAAAGGAACAGTATAAGGGGAGTTACATAAGAGCGACAGGCGTCGGTATTGGTGTCGGCGTAATTGTTGGAGCTTGCGTCGCGTAGTAACGCCGTCTGTGTACCGAGGCGCGAAGCGTGAACGACACCTGGCTTCTACCTGAGCCTCATCGACCACTACCTACCGTGTGCATGCAGACTTATTTTACGCTAAGATTTAATGTTACTGTGACTATTTGTGTAGGTGTGCTTATTACAAACGGTTGATAACGTGTTAAACGCTCTTTTAGTTACTATTTGGACATTTAGTGATAATAAAAAAAAACTTGAGCAAGTTACTTTATTATTATAAAATAAGGATATCACAAGAACTATAAATTTATTCTAAAAATATAGACACTTGCTATACTATAAAAGTGACAAGGTAAATAACTAAAAAAGGTTTTTTTAAAATGAATGCGCGTCTTGTCTACGAGCTACGGGCTACGAGTACTACGAGCGCTACACGTGCTACGAATCTTACAAATAATAAAATAACGTTAATAGAAATATGTGTATTGATTTTTTTTATGTGATAGGTCGGCAAACGAGCAAATGGATTACCTGGTGGTAAGCAATCAGCGCCGCCCATGGACACCTGCAACGACGGAGGAATAACGAGTGCGTTTTCGACCTTTTGGGGATAAGGGATTTGGAGATTTCGGGATAGGGGAAGGATTGGGCTACCGCTAACCTCACTCACACGGTGAAACACAACTCTTTGGTTATTTCACGCCGGTTTTTTGTGAGGTCGTGGCATCACTCCGGTCGAGCCGACCCATTCGTGCCGAAGCATGGCTCTCCCACACTTTATTTATATATTATTTACGCAAAAATTACAGAGCAGATCCAAATGAAAGGATTATTAAAATTATTTAGATGCGGCGAAGAAGAATATCGTAAGGAAACTTGGATTTTAATGCTCACACATTAACAGTGAGACTTTGCTCAGTAAATCGTCGCTACGATTAAAACTCCATTTGTTTCCTTTCCTTATATTATCCTTTTTCCAATTATATATGTACGCACTTATACACACCCAACACAAGTTTGTAAATGCTATGTAGAACCGACAAATTCATCAAAAAGAGATTAGCGCCATCAAATGCAGAATGTGTCGGTTCAAAGAATATTTCGATTGATAAAGGAAGGAAAGATCGTGCACAACAAAGAGAGGACCCGGAAGTGCCTGAGGGTTGAATAGTTTGAGTCCTCCGATCACCGAGGTCACGGAGGGGATTGGAGGGTACGAGACGTTACTTCCAAATATATAAATGGGTCAAATTCTATTGTATCAATTATTTTATTTTTATATTTTATATTTTACCTTATTGTTTTTTCATATTGCAATTTCATATTATTTAGTGATTTGAAAATTTTGAAGTAATTGTCAACTTAATTACATAAAAAAATTAACTCATTTATAATAATGTAAATTAATTATATACCAATCACATCAGTGTTCGAACAGCTTACAAACATAGACGTTTATATGTATAAGCAAAGAAATGTTTGATATAAAATGATATCTTTGAAACTCATGTTAGTTTTCTACCTACACTCTTAAAGTTACCAAGAACACAACACATACTTATAAATTTGGCACCATCCCTCGCCACTCGCCATCTCCCAGTTTCTCGGTCTCAGTGGGCGGCGTGGGGTGTAATTTGAACAAATGAGCGACTGCTACCGAACCAAATTAGATTCTCGCCGGTGGCCCGCCGACCGCCGGACGGCGCCGGACGACGGACGGCCGCCGGATCGCCTTCACTCGCCTACAGATTACGGTACTTGGGTCCGGAGTCGGTGCAATTTGTATCGTCTCGATAAATAGATCTTATGCCTTTTTGGGATTGGATTAGAGGCTACAATGGGGTTGAAATCGTATTGAGATTGCATCGTTTATAACACGTCTTCAATTATACGTTAACGTTATCCACATGTGCCCTTTACTGAAATATTTTAGGTTCAATATTAAACGATTTTTTATTAAAAAATCTCAAAAAGAGCAACTTGAAAAATAAATCAAATCAATAGAGGCCGAATGTAAATAAATGCCGTGTTATCCGGTGTTTAAACAGTGTAGGGCGTCGCCCCACCGCTCACCGGTTCCTAATCAAAAAATTGAACTTTCAATAAAGGGAATCATTAATTCTGCTTAGGGAGGGCTCCCGTAACATCCTAACGAACTCCGCAAGAATCTTGGGATGTTTTTGTCGGATAATTATTTGAAAGAAATACTTAGGAGCCCCATGCCTCGTCCACTTGGGAAATTGATTTCGACGCTTTGCAAACTGACGAGAAAAACGTCTTCGTTTTACTTGTGTGAGTATTTGTACGTTTTTAAATATTTATCTTGCTTCGTTTAGAAGGACCGATTCTTTTCCGATTTTACGATGGAAATGATAGACATGTAAAATTGTTAGGTACACTCTAATCATCATTCAAGTTCTAATACAAGAATGAGTTTAAAAACATTTTAATTACAAGATCAACATAATTAAGATCATATAACAATATGGAATTAAATAATACCACATTCTCAGTCAGATTGCCACTATAGTCTACAAACAGGAAACCATTTAGTTGGTTTCGTTCCAACCACAACAAACAATGTCTCGCGGATATCGATCGGATATTTTTCTCAGACGTTATTACGTTAATGCAGCCAATCCCCCGATGTGCCCGACATCGCGACCGGCGGGAATTAATGATGTCCTTTATTGGAGCCACCATTTTTTGATTCCAACCCTCACCTAAAACCCGACAGCCTCCCACTTTTCATTGAGTTCACAATACATTGCACATTTTACTCCGTCGTGAGAACATTCTTTGTAACGATAAGCGCAATGTATAATGAAATAAGAGATAATACCGTTTTCTTCGGTTCTAAATAGGCTTCTAAGTGGGAACCGTCGCCGTAGGCGTAGGAAGCCAACAAAATCCTTGTTTACACGATCTGGGTCCACATTAAAAGCATACCCCTGACGCTTTAAGGCATTATTCGGATCTGTCAGGGATTATTGTATTATACTGTCAAAAAGGGATGTTACCATTTCAATTTGTTAACATATTGCTTCTTGATTCACAAAGTTTTATTTTATAAGGTTGTAGATTAATTGGTGGTTTTACGCCGCCAGAATATTTTCTTCCAATTTGACTATAAAGATCCTTTAAAAGCCAACAATATGAGCTTATTCCCGGATTAATTAACCAGCAAGAGGACCATGATATTCCCGAATACCAGGAATTCACTATCCAACCATAGCACCTAATGATAAAGCTAGCGAACTCTTTGACCAATTACGATAGACAAACGATGCAGCGTGCACGCACTAGTCGCACTGATCGCATCACCTCCCGCAGTAGCTAGCCAATTAATTGAAAGCACTAGAAATTCAGTGTCGCGCTCAGTCCGGATTAGCCAATGAGCTTGTGTCAAAATACTCTTCATTAGTAGTTCCAACGGTCTTGTGTTGTCTAGTGATTTTGTTAATTGACTCCCTTTTTGCGTGAGTTGTCTTTTTGTTTTCGCTGTAGCGTTTAAAAATGTTATACTACCTACATACATAGGTTAGATATGCTCATTTATACTCATACTTTTTACACTTATATGCAAACCTAAAAAAAATAGCCTACTCCTTCTTAAAGATCTATACTAAAAGGCCGACGACCCATTTGGTTTGGGTGTCCATGAGAGACGCTGATCAATTAATTACAATCAGGTGAGAAAGACGGTTTTTTGGATCCTACTCCATAAAAATATGTAGCAATCTGCGACAAAATGTGGCAGTTACACTATTAAAGACAAACTTAATTTTTTTATGTTCTTATTTGGCTACTACATATTTTTGCTGTCGCTACAGAAATTTTCCTGTGGTCTCACCAGCCCGGAGTAAGTCTCACACCAGCACCTCAGAATACAGAACATATGTAATTACATATGAACATATGTAATTACATATAGACTTACTCCGGGCTGGTGAGACCACTAATTAATAAATTAGTCGATTCCTGAATTAAATAAAATAGTAAGAGTATCTCCATTCTCCCCTAACATCCCTTGTTGTCTATTCGCTTGATGTCAAAATAACTTCAAACAATCTCTATGTCAAATTAATGATAAAATTTTCAGTGTAGCTTAAACAAAATTAAACACCTACTATATTTACCGTGTAACAGTTTAAATACAACATTCAAAGTGGCACCAAAAGACGCGAGATACCAAATATGGGACGTACACTGCTCGAAAGATGGACAAAAAATATTTTTAAAGACGTTGGATAGCAAGGGTGGTAAGACATTTAGTTTTTATCAGAAGGCTACAAATGATAAAACTGTTTCTTCAAGACCTTCAACTGAATAAACAACCACTAATAAAGAAAGAACAGTGAGATAAACTTTGCTATAAAGATATCAATTGACCGAAAGTTAAATAGTAAAGACGTTATATTCTTTTACTTTCTTCATGACAAGTGTAACCGACATGACCTTGACTTTGTTAGTAGTGATCCAAGTAGGTGTTATGGAAGCTAGAAGTTATTATTTGCAGTAAACGTCTTATGGCATGTGCGTTACAAGGGACGAAGAAGATGAAAATCCAACTACCAGCTAAAGCAATACTACCAGAATGATCACCTAAAACACATTCCCATTCACAGCCATAACCATCAACAAAGAGCATCAAAGTATAATCGAAATACTGGTGGAGGGAACAAGAGCTATGCAAATGGCAAAACTGTTTCAAGGACGGGACATTCCTTTTGAGGTGATAGTGAGTGATGCTTCGGCCTACGTTAGTCCACGTCGGATTCGCAGTCCCAACGTGACTCGGATACGTTCACCTTTGAGTAAGAGTTTCTATAATTATTCCTTTAATACTCAAAGGTCATTTCAAGACTGTGCTTCGTTCTCCTACATTGTTATGCGAAACATTTTGGATTTTATTTTTTAGATAGGACAGTAAAGGAGCAGACGGATTACCTGATAGTAAGCAATAAGCGCCGCCCATGGACACCAGCAATAACGGAGGAGTAACGGGTGCATTGCCGACCTTTTGAAGATTAAGGATTTGGAGATTTACGGATTTAGGGAGGGAAATGATTGGGACTACGGCAACCTCACTAATACGACATAACACAATGCTGTGGTTGTTTCAAGCTGGTTATCTGTATCACTCCGGTCGAGCCGGCCCATTTGTGCCGAAGCATGGCTTCTAATGGGTATGTCTTACAACTGCAACCTGCCACTACAGAATGGTATGCAACACTTTTGGATCAATAACATAATATACTTTTTACAGATCGGTCTTTTGATTGGAAAGATTTTTACCCTCTGCACGTCGTTTACAATTTTTTAAATAACTTGGAGAAAACTTTTCCTTCTACATGTACGGTGTCCGTTATTGGTAGAAGTGTCGAAGGGAGGGATATTAAGGTATACATTTTTTTCAAAAGTCTTAACAAGGACATATATTTTATTTAAAACACTATTCATCACTCCTGATGGCCCGGAGGTTATGGCGCCCGCTTCTCATGCATGAGGGTTCGAAATCTAGGAAGTAATAATGTGATTTTTTCCAACGTATATGTACTTTCTATGATTATTTAGACAACACTGACGGTAAAATAAAAAAAAAACATCGTGAGGAAACTTGGACTTATAATTTCTAATTATAAGTTTGAAACCGCCAATCCGCCTTGAGCAATTGTGGTGATTAATGCTCAAACATTTTCCTTGTAAGATGAGGCCTTTGCTCAGCAGTGGGCACTTTAGGCTGATAATGATGATTCATTATGCATTTGAACAACACAAACTAATACTAATGACGTATCGTTCCACAAATATTACAGATGCTTAAAATTTCAAACAGCGACGCAAATAATACAGGGGTCTGGTTGGACGGAGCAACACATGCGCGAGAGTGGATTAGTACATCAGTGGTGACATACATAGCTGACTATTTGGCCAAAAATTTTGATAGTCTATCTGTTAACTATACGAGCAAAGACTGGTAAAGTATGCAAAACAAGATAAATAATATATTAATTTGGCATATCTTTTTTATGAAATGACTAGCTTCCGCTTGCGGCTTCGCCCGCATGGTATGTTGCTAGCAACAACCCCACTAATGCAATCACTCATTTTCTGATATTAACGTCGCAAAACTTACACTCGGTGAAGGGACCAACTATATTTTCCTAGCCTATGTCCTATTCCGGAGTGTATCCTATGCCTGTGCCAAATTTCATCCCGGATCTGGATGAAATTTGGCACAGGCAGCCGTTTTGGTGTGATTGAGGTACAAACATCCAAACATCGAAACATCCAAACATCGTAACTTTAATAAGATAGAACTAATATTAGTAAGATACCGACAATAGATTTTCCAACTGTCAATTTTTTTTCTAGGTATTTTGTGCCTGTAGTAAATCCAGATGGATACCAATATTCACACACTGTAGACAGGATGTGGCGAAAAAACAGAGCACCGTACGCAAATGTCATTTCAGGAGTTGATCTAAATAGGAATTTTGGGTATAATGTTTGATCATAATTCTTGTAGTATTAAGAATCGAAAACCATCAAATAGCTTCAATAGATAAAGTGCCTGTTATGGTCTAATTGAAATAAATGGATTGACTTAACTTTGTGAATCGATGACGACTGGTGATCTCTACAGCATCTTTGCTTAAGAATCTTGCATAAACTTTCTTCGTTCCAGGTACTATTGGGGACGCGGTGGTACAGATCATTCGTCTGGCGACCCAAATCATTTAAATTACCGTGGTCCAGAACCTTTTTCAGAGCCAGAAACTACAGCAATTAAGGTTTTTTCTGGGATTAACATTTTAATCACATTCTACATAAAATTATTTTTAGCTTTAATATTTTAATCAAATTCTAAAGGATTTTTTTAATACGTGTTTAAATGATTTTGTAGGATATGATTCTGTACTCGGGGACACCGTTTAAGATATTCCTATCGTTTCACGCTTGCAGTGAAGCCATCTCCTTTCCTTGGTGTCACACAGCTGACCCATGCCCGGACTACGTCAATTTACTTGAAGGTGGAACTGCTATGGCTAAAGTAAGATTCCAAATGTCTTCCTACATTTAAATGAGCTATAGAACACCTAATCAAAATTGTTTTTTGGGAGGTGAAAATCATCAAATAACTACTCCCACCCAGGATTGGGAGGGAGGAAGTATCAGACTCTTACTGACTAAAAACCAAAACCCCCATTCCTTCTTCTCCTTTAGGCAGAGTTCGCGGTGCCTCATTGTGCTTAACCCGCAACTTCGGCTGAACATCCCTATAGGGCCCCGTCTGTGGTGGTTTGTTGGCAAATTATGATGATATTGGAGCAACTGTACCAATACAAGGAAACCTAACCTGTGTAATTTTTGAATTAATGACCTGTACAAATATTTTGATTTCATTCTTGTCCTCATGTTTCTTTCTAGGCCATCTTCGAAACAGCTGGGCGCATGTACAAAGTTGGGAACTTTAAAGATATAATGTATTATGCATCTGGAACTAGTATTGACTGGAGTTATGGCACAGCACGCATTCCCTTCTCCTACCTCGTCGAACTAAGGAGCAAGCAAGATCGATTCACTTTACGTAGAGAGGAGATCATTGTATGCTGTAAGGAAATTCTAAACGGTGTCAAAGCTCTTGTAGAATTTGCTGATAAAAAGAAATGTTTGAATTGTTCTGTCATTCCGAAAAAACTTCGTAATTAGTCTTGTAATACGTTTGAACTTGAAAGTAGCCATATCGTGTTTTGTTGATTTTGTAAAAATAAACGTGCGAATAATGCGTTGAATAACAATTTTTATTTGGACACTTACATTACTGGTTACAGTTTTTGTTTAAGTAACAATAACTGCACCAAATTAAACATTAACAGCACACTGCATTAGTACATAGACTTCAATGTTCATCAACATAGTCCATCAAACTCTTGACAGCATGCCAAATTTCTTTGCAAGTTTCAATTATTTGGTCTTTCGGAAGTCTAAACTTGTGTTGCTTACTCCTAAGCTCTACCATATAGGAGTATGGTATCTTCGCTATCGAATAGCTCCAGTCTATACTGGTCCCACACGCGTAGTAGGTGAGGTCCTTAGTGCTTCCAACTTTATATGTCTTCCCGGACGTTTCATGTATTGCCTGGAACGTGACATTATTTTACATTTTAACTTTTTTGGTGATCTAGTGACTCTCAAGTGCTACTGCGAAACTAATACTGCAACTTGTATCACTAAAGTTCAATTCACACCTAAAACTAAGGATCCATGCCCTTTTTGATAACGCCAGAACAAACAAAGGTATAATGAAACATCCAAAATTCCACATTCAACTAATGAAACCTTGACTTTAGAACAATAATACGCTCATCGTATTTTCTATCAGCAAGAATCCAAAGTTTTTCCATTTTTGAGATTTTAAGCTAAAATCACCTACTGATAGACTCTTGATTGTTGGGTTGATCCACATATAAGATTAATAAGGCGTCAAGCGAAAGGTAAAGAATCTACAACTATGAGTAACCTCTCTTAAGATATAATAAGTCGTGATAGTGCTAGACTACGAATCTACTAATCTACTAAGTTCTTACGTAGAGTTACCCTTGCCATAACAGTGCCGCCCTCCAATAGATGCAGGTAGTCGGGACACGGATCCTGCCTGTTGCCCCATGGAAAGATGATCAGCTCGAAGTAACTATGGAAGGAGATGAACACCTTGAAAGGTGTCACTGATCCCAAAATCGTGTCCTGGGACAAAAAGTAAGAAATAGATATAATAACCTTTTACAATTTTTTAGCTTACATCTAATTAATTGGTTGTACTTTGGTCTAATGTACTTCATATGTAAACTTTTTCTATATGTTTTCGAATAGAGTAGGGTATAATATTTTCTACAATGACGATCCTAATATTATCATCTCTGGTCATTTTAAAAATAAATGAGAGTCAAACTGACGTACCCTTACTGCGACCGTCTCTGGTTCAGAAAATGGGGCTGGACCTCTGTAGAAAACATGGCTTGGTTCATCTGATGAGCCTTCTTCGCCGTTACTTTGGCCCCATGCATAGCTAGAAAATATAAAAATATACTTTAGTGCATGTCTGGAATGTCACTTACTTTGACTACACGATTGGCGCACTGGCTGGTCAACTGGCTGCTGTGCAACTTGTCGCTGGTACGATTTCCGCACAGAATAACACTGTATGATTCATAAATTTTTGTATGTAAAATTTTATGTCTGTAAACACAGCCACGACACAGAGGAAAATCCAAAAGTTATTTTAAAATGATGATGATTAAGTTCGTATCTGGGTACACCAAAATGTCGTGAAAGTTGACTTTCTCTCGTATCTGAGGTCAAACACATTTCGAGTTGCTAAACCTATGACCTCTTCTGATCTATACCTATTGATTAGATATTAATCTTATTAAAAAAAAATATTATGTAGCACAGTAACATACATACCTAAAATTTCTATTGAGGTCTACACCTACACACTCCCCTCCATACCTCGCACGATTTTTTCTCCACATACGTTCATGTGTATGCGTGTATTCATAACCATCTGGATTTAGTACTGGTATTATATGCCTGTAGACAAAAACACAATTAAAAGTAACGTGACTATGAAGACTTAGTAGGTATACATAGTATCACAGTGTGCGTAGGTTTACTTTGCTTGTTGATCAAAAATCTATTCATGGCCATTACTTCCCCATAGACTCTGTGCATCTAAACCAAGCAATTTTTTCTTAGTCATATGTTTATATAAGCGTGAAAAAATAAGGTTAATTACCAATCTTTACTAGTTATAGCAGAAGAAAGTGTATGAAAATTTTTGACGAGCATATCAGCTATATAAGTGATGACTGCTACACTGATCCATTCTCGGGGATGTATGCAAGCATCCAGCCATACTCCAGAGTTGTTTGCGTTGCTGTTGGATATCTTCAGCATCTGGAAATAAGATAACCATTGAAAAGTGTGGGAGAGTAATGCTTCGGCACGTATAGGTCTTCTCTTGGTTGTCTAAAGCATTATTGTAGTGGATATGACTAATACAATTTTCCATTACATCACAACTTTTTTACCTTAATATCCCTTCCTTCAACAGACTTTCCAATCACAGACACAGTACATATTGCTGGGTAGTCTCTTTCTAGCTCTTCTATAAATGCGTATATTACGCTTAGTCTGTGGTATTTTTTCCAGTCCATTAATTTTGCTAGAAGAAGTAGATGAATTTATTTTTTTATCAAAAGTTACGTTTAGTTGTCTACTCTTAGAACCTTACCTCCACGTTAAACTAAGCAAACGTATTTTATACAAGATCGTACAAAAGTGAGCAAAATGATTTATTTAATTTTAATTCTTTTGCTGATTGCTTAATGCGTGTTATCAGGTGGTGGTGATCCGTTTGCTTATTTGCCGCTTTATTGTACATAAAAATGTAATTCTCATATACTTAATATTACCTATCTATTTTTATTTACTTAAATTTGAAACAAAGATAGATTTTTCTTACGTTTTCCTCTTTTTAGTTTCCGTCTTGGTGTTATTAAACATTTTTGTACTGTTAAGCGTTGCCCTGAAATAATAAATGTTTAATCAGTAACAATTCCATGTGTACAATAAAGTTTATAGTTTATTATTCTCTGTGTTTTTTTTATCAAAAAGATAATAATTTAATTTAGCATGCATTTTAAATTCTTGCCATTTGCGAGTCACCGCCTACTATCACAGGGATCTACTTTCTGGATTCGATGTCATGTCTTGACATCCATTCCATTTTTTTCAATATTCAGTGAATTCGATGTCATATCTATATCTATTTTTTTCAATATCGAATAATAAATGGTCTCACACTTAAACGTATAGAAACGTTAGTAATTAATGTTTACGTAAATATGCGTAAGTAGTTAAGTAATTAGGATTTTTGCGAACAAATTAATGCTGTTGCTGTGAGGTCGCATTTAAAATATTTATGAGAAGTTCATTGAGGAAGACCTATGTCGAGCAGTGCATGCCTTATGGATGGCTGCTGTGATGATGATACGTTACTTTGGTTACCCTTGGTCTGCGTGCTGTGGTCGGCGCATTCGGCCGTCAAAGTTTTGTTAGAGCTCTGATCCGACTCATCATCATCATAAACGTAGAACTTGTCAGGTCTTCGCAGCGTACTTTTGACTCGTCGTGGTTGAATGCGTTTTATAGTCACGCTCATTTTATACGATATTTATTTGACTACAAGAAGTAAAAGATTTAAAATGCATTTCATTAGGGAAAAAAATACTTATCACTTAAATTAAAAAAACAAAAAAACTATTATTATTATTATTTAAAATTGCAATGTTAGAAGACAGATTTTTGCATTTTATTATTATTTTGTATGTTCCTTCCCATGCACGGGATCACAGGATCCCGGACCTTTGGAAGGCGTACGAGGACCCGAAGCCAAGTCGCAGAGGCCCGTTGAACATTTTTAATCTAAATGTGATGGGACATCAACCGGCAAATATCCCTGTATATACTAAGAAAGTGCACCCAAGGACAATCCTCGATTGATACAGGACTATTGTGCAATATGGTACAAAATTATATGGTTATGGGTGTAAGTGGCTTCGGACTGGTAGATGATAACTCTAGAATTATTTAACACAGTCAACCGTAAGGATGATGCAGAGAAGTATATCTAAAGGTTCTACACAAGCGTCACACGTTTTAAAAAGACAGGAACAAATACATAGTTACTTTTGCATCTCTCCAAATATTTGATCCTAATTTACCTGTGATTCTAAAGCTTTATTTTAAACGATGGACCATAATGTTTGTGAATTATATTCATATTCCCAAGCGGGGTGTACAAATTGAGTGCCAGTCATTGTGGTCAGAGAATGGCAATCGATGTCCGGAACAATGCTATCTGTTTGTATATTGTGGGACTGAGCACGTGTAACGCATTATCACTTAAATCGAAAATATTTTCCTAAACCATTATCTTCTGGATAATCTTCTCTTAGATATAAAAATGATTTGTTGTTCGTTATTCTCGCTTAAACTCGAGAAAAGCTGGCTCGACATGGCTTTTGGTGGTCTTAAATTTTTCCTGGATATATACAGACGGATATATACAGAAATAGGTATATTTGAAGTAGAGAGAAGATTGCCGGGTCAGGTAGTCTTATATAAAAATAAATTGCTATGTGTATTCTATGGGAAGGTTTAAAAGGTCAGAATATACAACTAAATAAAAAATATTAGTTATATTTGAGGTAGAGCAAAGATTGCCGTGTCAGCTAGTCTTTATCAACATAAATTGCTATGCGTTAGTCCCGCTATAGCTCGAAAAAGGTTAGACCAACATAGCACATTGTGTCTTTAAATATTCCTGGATAAACAGGTTAGGTTCAAAGGTCAGAAAATATGACTTAATAAATAAAAAATATTTGAGGCGGTGCGATGTTTGGCGGGTCAGTTGTTACGACATATTAAACCATACAGGTCATAACTTATTTTCACAAGATTCTAACTTACCTAAGTCACAAGATTTTCCAAAATGAAGACACAACAATACACCAATCCTTCTTTGTTAATATTTTAAAAGTCACTTAAAAATTTGCATCGGAACCGTATCGTTTTCAGCACAATGTTTTATTACGAAACCAACTAAAACGAATGCAATAATTATTCATAACATTAACTACATTTACAATTTTTTTGTTCCATAATTTATCAAATAATTTAACTCGTCACGAAAATTTATTAAAATACCAAAAGAAAACAATAAATTCACTTTATAAAATAATAATTGATTACAAATATTTGTTGTGTAATTTAATGATTTTAACATTGATAAAAAGGTATAGACGAAATATGACGGATGATTTATTTGAAAATATTGTCTGCACCTATATAGATCGAGTAACCTCTTTTCGTGGCTACTAGATTTTCTTTTGAAGTACCTATTCAGCTATTCGTAATAATATGCGTCACGACATAAAGTAAATCCAGCAATTTTTATTATGATATACAAACATTGATTTCATTCTCAAAATAAAAACCAACTGAGTAGGTACACTTTTTACAACGTATAAAACATTTCAATGGAACTGTCGAAAACGCGAACGAATTTTGCGCTCAGATTAGAAAACCGCGAGCAGAAAACTCCGCGCGTTCCACCACGTTGCGGTGGCCAGCCAATCACACGGGCACAATGACACGATGCGACGACTGACTATTCTGGATTCTGGACATTCAGATGGACTTGACATTCTGATACCTACGTTCAATGAATCTAGAGACGATGTCTTCTTGAGATACTTCATCAGGAACGTGCCGTTGGTGGTGCGTTCACTAACATCACGGCAAATGAAGTTCGGATTCAAGACTAAGCGAAAAATTTTTTTTTTTTTTCGCCAAACATTCACACATTCACAGTTCACGGCAATCGTAGAATCTTAATTATTTTACTTGGATTTAATAATAAGTGGCCAAGGTTTTAAAACAACCACCAAAAGCTACGTTTAAAACCTTCTTCTCCTGATAATCAGTAGTAGCTAGTTAAATCCAGAAGAACATAAGGCAAAAGACCTTTCTGAAGAGTCATTGTCGAAAGACCAAAACACCACTTCTTTAATCATCTACAACAGTTCAATTAGCAGTCAAAGAGTGTCACAAAACTAGATCGCTACGACATCGCTAGGAGCTAGTAAGCGTTTGTTCGAAACTTCCCCTGGCAAACTTTGACGTGGACAGCAGACGGCGTCCCGCTAATTGCAACAAATGAGATTGATTGTAACGGACACGGCACATGCTGACTCAGCTCCGACAACTAGTTGTTGTTACACGCTTTTCCCAACTCTAATTTCTCACGATTGGACAAAAATAGAAGTGGTTTTTATAAAATGAGGAAACGCTTGGTTTAATAATCTTTCCTTAAATCAAAACGTTGCTGACAATAATTTTAATTTTTTCACTAAGTACTAGCCATTTTGACAAGTTAGTAGATCTATGAACCTAATTTAAAACACAAAACTTGAATTAATGCTAATTAAAATGTTCTTAGTATTTTAGCCACTGATATGATGGATCTTTTCGCAGGCATAAGAAGGAGAAGACAACTTAAAGACATAATAATAATTAATAAATACCAAAAAAAAACCGAAAAATACATTCCTAAACCTATATAAAATGAAATACAATTCAAATAATCAGTTTACCGAATCCCTGACTTCCGTTAAACACCAAAAGATGTTTTAAGTTAAGCTGTATAGGAGATCGTAAAGAGCAGGATTCGACAGCTAATCTAGTTAAGATGCAAGCATCAGTGGGTGGCAATAACTTGGGATACCGTCTACCCGATAATTAAGGGGATGGTCGTGAAGATAGTGGCGCGAACGACTACACCCCTTCTAATTGATATGTACGACGGACAACGAGCTAGAATGTTCTACCGTGGAATGGAAAAAGATTTAAGTTGTTGTTATGTTTTATGACCGTTTTGTGGTTCTGTCAAGGATTTGGTTTTCTTGTATTTAAAGAGGGCACATCATATGTTTTTTTTGGCTATTTGTGGTAATCAATTTATTAATCACTACCACCGCTTAGCCATATGAGAGAAATAACTGGAGGTGTTAGTCGACTCCCGCCCCCCATCTCCAAAACCCTTATCCCTATACCATAAGAACGTATGTTTACGTTCATGACATTATTGCTTGAGATGTCTTCCTAGTGTTTGAGACTTCTCACCTCTTCCGTAATCTCACTATGCTAATCCTTTACCTAATAAACATAATTAATTGGTATTCATTACTGAAATCCTTTTATTTTGATTATTACTAATAACACCAGTCACGATTTGTCTTGATAAACTAGAAGTTAGAACAATGATGGTAATAATAGTGCTGTTAAATACTATCTTGATAACCAACATATACTTTTACCATTTCTCATGAACATGAACACGATGGGCAGATCTCTTGATTAAATTTATCTTTGTGGGTTTCTGTGCCAAGTTTCATCAAAATCCATGCAGTAGTTTTTGCGTGAGAATTTTGTCGGCTGCCACTTATAGAGATCTTTCATTAATTCATGAAAGAAATAAAGAAGAAAGAAAATCGTCGTGTAATTTGCGTTTATGTATTAAGAACTAGCTTTCGCCCGCCATTTTTTTATGTTTTAAAAACTATCCTAAATCCTTTCTTTAGTTCTAAACTATGTCTGTACCAAATTTCACACAAATAAGTTCAGCAGATTATGCGTGAAGACAAGACAGACAGACAGACAAAGTTACTTTCGCATTTATAATATTAGTTTGGATTGTCTTAACCGTGTTTGTCCATAAGTTGTTCGAATACACTAATTACCTTTAACAGTGATTAAACTTACTGTTTTTATGGTATAAGTCGGCAAACGAGCAGACGGATTACCTGATGGTAAGCAATCGGCGCCACCCATAGACACCCGCAACACCAAAGGAGTTACGAGTGCGTTACCGGCCTTTTGGGAATAGGGGTTGCGAATATATGGATCGGGAAGGGATAAGGGAAGGGAAGGGATTGGGCCTCCGGTAACCTCACTCACACGGCGAAACACAACACTGTGGGTTGTTTCACGCCGGTTTTCTGTGAGGCCATGGTATCACTCCGGTCGAGCCGACCCATTTCGTGCCGAAATATGGCTCTCCCACACTTACAATTACAATTGTGCAAATATTTTAATGTAAATGTTGAACACTATTTATTTTGTGGTTGACAATAAATGTAAATGAACAATGAAGAGAAACAGATCTATTAATGCTTATTACATAATATCGTTTTTATTATAACATTAGTAGGAGTGTTGTAAGGAAGAATTGAAGCACAGTATTGCTGGACCAGAAGCAGGACCAGCTCGATAATTACATGTAATCAGATATTTTCTGTAAGCGCTCCACTCACCCTCGTCTCGCCTATGCACTCCCCACTAATGAAACAGAATCCCCTACCATTTGTGAAGGGATTTTAAAATCTCGCTGGATTTTCACGCGTAGAGTTGAGTTCTTTAGTTTTCTCACATCACATCATCTGCCTATGAGTGCCCACTACTGAGCAAACGCCTCTTCTCAGACGGAAAAGGTTTGAGCAATAATCACCACGTTTGCTCAAGGCCGATTGGCGATTGCAAAATCATAATTAGTAATTGTAAGTTCAGTTCGTCGTATATCAGTGGGGTCTTAGAAAGTACTCGAAAAAGATCTCATTGATACTTGCCAGGTTTCGAGCCTTGCATGAGAAGCGGGTAACTTCTTAACCTTCGATCCACCATGATACTTAACGTGGACGTCAACATTCAAGGTCAAGCAAGGAATTATTAGGGTTACGTAGAATGATTTTAACTTTGCACAATATACTATTTATAAATTTATACTATTTTGTCGAACAACACTTTTTTATTTTTACCTTCAATAACTGCATGTGATTTTTCCTTTATGGCAATGAACTATTATAGTAAGCTCCAAGGAAAATTTGTCATACGACTAAACAGGTCGAGAAATCAAACAAAACCCAGAGATTCAAACTTAATGAAAATCCCATAAGTCAAAATCCATTCCAACTAAACCAAAAAACAGTACTTTTAAACGTCAATATAGAATATATTCTGTCAGTCAGTTAAGAAGAACAAGCAAGAAAGTCCACCATATACAATGTCATAACAATTAAAATCAGATCCAACTTCTAACTATGCGAAACAGGATCACAGAAACTGTAGTAGCTACCTCATACTCATAGCAAGTTGAAACAAGCAAACTGGGTTACTGGTGTGTAGCGAGCCAGTCAATCCATTCTGTTTACTGCGATATGCGTAGAATTCTACACAACCTCTGCGACCCTAGTACTTTACGGGGCAACATATATTAATCCGTGAAATTGAAACCATTGGTTCGTGATACTTGGTACAAATATTGAGTATTGCGTTTGAAAGTATAAGAGTTAGATGTCTAATGTTCTTTGATAATGATAAGACTACATAGTATGTATTTAAGTATCTTTCGCCGTATATTATGGGGAGCAGGAGAGCCATGCTTCGGCACTAATTGATCGAATCGACCGGAGTGATACCACGGCCTTACAAAAACTGGCGTGTAACAACTACAGTGTTATGTTTCGCTTCCCTCATCCTACCCTAATCCCAAAATCTCCGAAAACCTTAACCCCAAAAAGGTGGAAACGCACTCGTAACTCCTTTGATGTTGCTACGACCAGGCAATACATTCACTTGTTTGCCAACCTAAAATATAAAAAACTGCTGTGAACAACAACACACCAAATTAAAATCTGAAAGTTAAGAAAAGTGAATGATCTTAAAGTGTTCGTGTGACACCTTAAATGATATACCAACTCACGGAACTTACAACGAAAAATGAGATCGCAATAATTAGTAAGGGGCAAGACTGTCGGTAGCCCGCTAACCAGACGGCGGACTCAAACTGCGACCCGCCCGACTGTCACCTTGGCTCGGTCTTACGCGCGTTTATCTTTTTAATTGTACACCCCCTCCAGCTCACCTCCCACCTTCATACCCCTACTCTCCCTTGTTACTACCTCGTTAGATTTAGCGAATCACTCATACGTCTTCTTATTTATTGCTTAAGGAAGATTTGGGCTCCGTCTTTCTTTCAAGTATTTTTTTGTTTGTTGTTAATTACATTTTCTTTTTCTTCTTCTGCTATTGTTTGTTAGACGATTCCTTGTAAGATGGTCATCAGCCGCATTACAAGTACGTTAACCTTAACTATGTGTTTTTATTTCCCAAACATATTTCTTACTTTTACAACGGTCATAGACTTTAATAAGCTTCTTAAATTATATCTTGGCTTATGTTTTTACTCTTTTGTCAATCGGGTATGTCTTTAAAATTATTTATTTTACCACAGTACGTTTTTTGTACAATACAAAAATTGATCCAATGACATACAACAATCATGGAATGTCTAATTCCCTTCCAGTCTTTTCCAACTCGATTCAAAACATTGTCACTAGAAATTGTCACTAAACAACATTTGCAGTTTCTTTCTCTTTAAAAGTTTTCCCATAAAGTCTATTTTGCTTTGAATCTAACGAAATTAAAGAGGATTAACAATTAGTCGCAAAATGTACGCACCGACGCTTAGTGGGTGTTCAGGGGTGGTAAATCGGCGGACGATACCATAATGCAGGATAGATCAGAAGGCGCATGGCCGTTTTTATAATTATAAATAATAATTTAATAACGTTAAAGATATTTCTACGAACTGAAATAGAAACAATAATTGGAACATTGTGCAAGTTTGCGAATATAAATTACTAATGCTGTACATAGTTATATGTTATTCTACTATCTTCTACTATCTTCTATGTATATATGTCACCGGAAAATAACAAGATCCGTAAGTTTATCAATTTACTAGGAAGTTTATAAACTTTCGTAAGATTCTAAACGGGAGATAAATTGTAATATTTTACGTCCACATTTTCGTAAATTTATCAATTTCCGACGTCATACTGTAAATTTATAAACTGACGAATATCTATTCGTAAGATTTTATATGGTTCGACCAATCACAGAAACTCTTTTAAATATACGATCTTTTAAATACGTAATATAACACACTGCTCTCTGATTGGTCAATGTTCATAGTGGCAATGCTTGTGTCCATAGACTTTGAAATAAATTGGAAGCAACAATGCCTGGTTCCTTTCTGGCACGGATGTAGTGAGTTACTTTTCTATTATCAGTTTCAATAAGCTATTTAACAATTACTCGCTATAATACAGGAATACTCTTATAAAACACACTAATGAACACTACTTTGCTCTATTTAAATAAAACGAAATAAATTGTGTAATACGAAAGGCATTTTTATCAAAAAAATTGGCCAGCAATGGCGGCCGCGAGGAAGGAGAAGTGACACGTGACAGCCAACCAATCAGATCGCGCGTAGCGTTAGGTTACTGCTTACTTATTATTTTACGAGTGAGTTCAGTAAGTTTATCAATTTACGAAAATGTGGACGTAAAATATTACAATTTATCTCCCGTTTAGAATCTCAGATAAAAACGACTGAACAGATTTGGTTAAAATTTGATATGTAGATAAGTGATACCATAGATTAAAACATAGGGCTTTTTATCAGCACGCGGGTGAAGCCACGAATGTAAGCTAGTAAACTATGAGTAAACGCTCAGGTTGAATTCAGAGGTGGTAGATTAATGTTTTTTGTTATTGTCATAAAAAATACTAATCTCTAACTTATTATATTTTTCATATAGTCCAGTAAACATATTCAAAATCTATTTGAAATTGTACTTCTGCTATTTTCACGCGACGTGTCTTGCTTTGTTTTTCATTAGACGCTGCTTATGGGGCACCGTCGTCGCCTCGCTAAGCACTTAACTACCAGTACTGACTTAGTATTCAATGTTAAAAACGTTTTCACCGTCCCTTTGAAGGCAGATGAACCTTTTGTTTCTTCAGTCTATAATGTCACTGTACATTTCATTCAATGTAAATTTTGAATATCTTTTAACTGTTCTTATTATTATTATTCTTTTCTTAAATAAAATTTTGTGATTGATCAATTTAAAAAAAAAACTCAATATGTATCACTATAATACTCAAAACTCAAACGTTTATTGTATTTCATAATATTACACTAAGGGTTGTGTGTACATAGGGATTAAGATCATTATGGACCCTGTCGATAAATACTTTTTTGTGAGAGAAAATTCATAAAATGACTTCTCTCGAGGGAGTGTCAGACTCTTATTGACTTAAAACCCCCCGTTCCTTGTCCTGCTCTGGGCAGAGGCTGCAGTGCGCCATTGCGCTTGCCCCCGACCCCGGCTGAACATTAGCCATATAGGGCCCCGTCTTTGGTGGTCTATTGGCTCTTTAAGGCGCGCGCGGAACGCTAGATGCGGTTCGCTCGGATAGACATCTGTTTTTAACCGATTCCATTAAAAATGTACCACTACAATACTATTCTTAAACAATCCTTAATCGATACCTAAGTTATGAATCTAAAAATCAAGTCGACTACTGCTAAAAAACACGTCTTCTTGTTTAGTAGAAGAAGAGACAATAAAAAGAGCAATTAAGTGTACTTATGTTTGCTTCAAGATAATAAATTTTTGGAGTAAGAACATGATAGCGAAGGGCTAATATAAAAAACTCATTTTTCGAAGTCAAAGTCTAAAACATTTATTTCAACAAACTGTACGAGCTGTTCTCATTTTATTTACGCGAGTATATCAGTCGTCATTTTCAAAATTTATTGAAAATGCATGCAATGCATGCCTCATGGAAGTACTATTCCAAGATTTTTATCGTAGTTATCTAAAGAACCGCGATGGGGCAAGTAAGATACTGCTTGATTAGTACACTTTTGTAAAATAAAAAAATATTATACTTCCGCAGCAACATACCGTACGACATAGTAATCTAAGTCAATCCAAAAACAGCTGATCTTCTTTATGATATCGTTTTTATGCTGGAACTCAATTGCAGCCTAAAGAATACCAACTAACAATATAATAATTGCATTTAATCACATATGTTTAAAACTTTTTCGTAAAGTTATACCACAAAACATGCCTGACAGCATCAAGTCACTGTCAATTCACATTAACAAACCGTAATCTTTAAACCGTCTGTATAAAATTCAAACGTTATACAAAACTGAAAAAAAAAATATCAAACATTCACAAATTCATTTTTATATAATGGATCCGTCACCAGATATGCTGCAACCACCAAGTGTCAAGTCTTGCGCTCAAATTAAAGAAACTGCTGCATTTGATATTTTCACATCTTTCTTCTGCTCTTAGAGCAAACATAACATGCAGAAAACTTCAAGAAAGCCGCTCCCATCTGGGAGGGACTTCCATCAAAAATGTCATACGTCAAACATACCACAACCCATAAAACCGAGACCTCATTCCAGCCAAAGTAGGAAATGTGATACATGCAGTAGTGAAGTTGAAAAAAACCGACAAAAATGTAAACCTCGAGAACCAGTGGCTAAAACAAAGAAAAATAATTATAAAATTGTTTGTGATCCTGAAGAATTTGTCTCAGATAAACCTAGTGCAGAATGTTTCATTGATAAGAATTATATAAACAATCCTATCATTCTAGAAACTAGGCTAAAGAAATGTGCTCCTATTAAAGAATTAGACTTTGATGTGCCAAAGGGTAAGTTATTAAAATCTTTCCTTGAATTTCCATCCAATCCTGATACAAAAACACTAATTTAAAATGTAAACACACAAAACTCTAATTATATCTTGTTCGAAAGATGAAAAGTGCAAATCGGTCCACTATGAGTCCATGGACTGGCGCGATTACCACCAGCTATCAGTTATTCACAAATTCATGGATGACTTAGAAGCTGATTTCCCCTCACTGTGCACTACTGGGGTCATTGGCACGTCAATTGAAGGTCGAGCGCTAAAGGTGACATTTTTCTATATTTCGTTGATATTTCTGCACCAATGTGAAATTTAATTTCAATAATTACCTTTATTGTAGCATGTAGTTAGATAGTCTTTAAAGTCTTCCTCATTATGGTCTTCAAATATTTAAATACAATTTGCAATCTTATATACTGTTCTTCTTAAGCCTTGGTTTCGATTATTCCCATCTGTACTTAGATCCTAAAGATTTCTAACAGCAACGCAAACAACTCTGCGGTATGGGTGGATGCGGGCATACATGCACGAGAATGGATAGCACCAGCCGTCAACACGTACCTTGCAAACCATATCAGCAGGAATTTTGACACACTTCCTGAATGCATCAGAAATAAAGACTGGTAATTCACAAATTCTTAATCACACCCTGATAACATGAAAATGGCAATATTTTTAGGGCATATATCGGCAAACAAGCAGACGGGGTACTTGATGGTAAGCAATTGTCGCCGCCCATGGATACCAAAGGAGCCACAAATGCGTCGCCAGCCTTTTGGCAATATGGTTGCGGATATTTAAGGATTATGAGGGGAGGGAAAGGAATTGGGCCTCCGGTAACCTCACTCACACTGCAAATCACAACGCTGTGGTTGTTTTAGATCGGTTTTCTGTGAGGCCGTAGTATCACTCCGGTCGAGTCGACCCATTCCTGCTGAAGCTTGGCTCTCCCACACTTCAATTATTCTATTTACCATATTATTATGTTTACTTTCGATTCTGTAGTAGTATGCTTATAACATTTAGTTGAACTTTTACACTTTTGAAAATATTCAGTAACTCGGAGTCTGGGCTTATTTTACATTTAATTGAACCACATCCCATCACATCATGCACACTACTGAGCAAAGGCTTCTTCTCATGTGATCAATGTTTGGGTATTAAACATCACGCCTGCTTAAGGCGAATTGGCGATTTCAAATTATACAGGTTTCAAATCGACAGTGATTGAAACAACAAGTCCAGAATCTTAATAAAAACATAAATCAGCTTGACCATTGCTTATTCATAATTGTGATCTATTGTATATATTCACGCTTAGAAGATAAGCTCACTGTTCTTTTATCCCAGGTACTTCCTACCAGTGGTCAATCCAGATGGGTACCACTACTCGCACACCACTGACCGCATGTGGCGCAAGAATCGTGCATGGCACGGCGGTCAATGTGTGGGTGTGGACCTTAATAGAAACTTCAGGTTGGTTACCATTGTGATTTTTTTTCTTTTCTATATGTTTGTCTTTCTCCTTCTCGTTTCCCAATTAGTTTCAAAGTCTGCACTAAGTCTTAATCTAATTCTATAGAATGTCTTTATTATTAACAGAAATCAAAACGGTATTATTTCGTCCCAAAAATGTACCACCTCTTTTCGATTACGTGATGGTAATCAATCGGCGCCGCCCATGAACACTTGCAACATTAAAGGAGTTGCCAGTGCGTTGCCTGTATTATGGAGATAAGAGATTTGGGTATTCAAGGGTTTAGGAAAGATGAGGGAAGGGAAGGATTGGGCCTCCGGTAAACGTTGTATTTCACCGTGTTGCTAACACGGTGTATTGCCAATTTGCTGGCCATTTGTGCTTTAGCATGACTGTCCCACATAATTATTACAATTTGAAATTATATTAATTATGTTATGAGCCATACCATGAACTATGTTTCTCACGTTTCCATAGCATTGGCTGGGGAACCCGTGGATCATCTGATAAACCCACGAGTGCATTCTACAGAGGTCCTGAACCGTTCTCTGAACCAGAATCATCAGCTATAAGGGTATAGTATAATGTATATACTATATGAATACTTTAAACAAATAAACAACATTTTATTTAATATTAAGTATAAACAATATCGAATAGTTTAATACAAAAAAACACAAATAATAGACAGTGTCACGAAACGGACACTATTCAAAACATTTAGATAGTTGAAAATGATCATTGGAGTGAAGCATCCGCGATCATTTGCGTGTAATATGCCGCTGATGCCGATTTCGTGTCGTTGCCATTGCACGCAGAGATTATACTGCAAACAAGGTTTAGCCGTAAATCAATTTTCCCAACGATTTTATATCATTCCTGTTACATTATATTAATTCGCTATTTGCGCTTTAAAGCGCTACCAGCTTTTCATAGAATTTTCATTATTACATATATATATTCAGTTTACTGAGTATGTCAGCTTTCATTTCAGGTTAATGATTTAATAGTAACAGTACATATACTTACTACAGTTTATCAATAGACATTTTGTTGTTTATTATAATGCTTTTTAAATTAATAGGTTTTGTTTGGCACAAAAATAATATTAATCGTAAACATAATAAAGCACATATCATGTACATCAGATCTACATTCTAGATAATTGTTATTCATATTTTATATTTCAGGATTTATTCATGAACTCGGGAATAAATTTCGAAGTATACATAACACTCCATAGTTATGGACAAATCATAATATTTCCGTACGCATGCAGTAAGGATCTGGCTCCAGATTATGTACGTCTTCTTCAGGGAGCTACTGCTATGTCAAAGGTAAATTATTTACTTAATTAAAATATACTATACAAATATATTTGTCATGGTAGCCCGCAAGGTAAAAGCATGAGAAGATGAAAAGTCTCCAATGTGACTTATTCCGAGTGATGTGTACTTTCTAAGTTGAATGAGACGTACGGTATCTTTTGAAATCGCCAATCCGCCTTGAGCGAGTGATTAATGCTCAAACCTACTCCGCGTGAAAAATGACCTTTACTCAGCAGTAGGAACTTATAGGCTGATGATTATGATGAAACCATAAGCTCAACAAATCATGCTATAAAACTTAAAACAAAAATTTAGTTTCTTCATTGTATAAAAATTACGTAATCATCTTTTTCACCAGGCCATTTATGACACTAATGGTAATACATACAAAGTGGGCATTTCAAGAGATGTGATGTACGGGGCAGGCGGTACTAGCAATGATTTTGCACACGGAGCAGCCGGTATACCTTACTGCTACCTCATTGAACTTAGAAGCAAGAAACACAAATTCAAACTACCAAAGGAACAAATACAAGATACGGGAAACGAAATATACAACTGTGTTCAAGCACTTATGGAATTTGTTGATTCCTACTCATTCAAGAATCACAAAGAAGAAAAGTCATTAATAGACAGTGAAAGTTTAGTCAAGCACAGCTTCTCCGATATTTACCCTAGCAATTCTCACGAAATAAAACGTGAATCTTATGATAGAAGAACATATTCATTTGCGCAGGAAAGTAATTCTTTCGTGCAAAGTGACAATTCTTTTATAAGATGGCCTAATGTATCCCCGATCAAGGATAATCCTCTCAGATTGAATGATGATTTTACAAAAGTCGACGATGATAACCTAGACAAAGATCTAATAAATGAAAACGAGGTTACAACACAAACAATTGTATTGAAAGACGAAAATGATTCCTTTGAAGACCTAAGACTAATAGGGTTTTCAATCGACACCAGTGATTCATTTTTGCGGTTGAATAATTCATTCATTCGAAAAGGTGATGATTTTTGTGACACACACGATGTTTATCTACACAACACAGATTCATACAAGCAACTACAAAATACTGAGTCGTGTGGCCAGAAACATGACAATCTTTTAGAAAATACGGACTCTAACTCCTATGAGGACGATATTTTCTTGAAGGGATCTACTGATGACTTCGACGTTGATTATTTTTTCTTGGCAGACAGTCCAACACCTCCTAGTAATAGTATTCAACCCGCAATAAATAAAATAGAGTCACTTAATAAACTTAGTGTATCTACGAAAGAAACCAATGTTCAGGTATATTCTGATGACAGTGATAATATTTTTTTGAACGATGATGATTCTTTCTGGGAGAAAGACAATTCTCAGGTGTGGAAAAACTCAACCGATCAGCAACAATACATCAGTGGAGAACACAATTTAGTTTCGTCAGCTTTTCGAAGGTATGTTACTTATAAACATTAATTGTTTTGGAACCGCTACTTACTCCTTTCCAATTCATATAGATAAGCCAAATTTGTTTATTTGTTGATAACACGTTACTCATGTTATTCCTACGTTCATCCCGCTACCGTTTTTTGACGCTTAAATTTTTCGCCCAGATTACATAAAAGGCTTGTATAAAATGTCTTTGCATACACTTTGAGTTCAATTCTCGTTCAAAACCTCATTGAAAATCAATAGTTACAATGATGTAAGAAACTCTTTTATTGATGACAATGTCACTTATAAATTTGACGCATAATGTGCACTTCAAAATTTTCAGTCACATTCAAAATGTCACATTAATACCGGACTTTCAGTCACATATCATTTCAAAAATTCTTAGTGCTCCATATACACAAATTATTTTAACCCAAAAGTTAATATAGCCCGTCAAAGTGGCCCATTCAGTTCCTAACACCCAAGTATGGGAAGTGAACATAACTAGGGAAGGTCAAAGAAATTTTGTGAAAACATTGGATACCGCAGGAGGTGCGTACTCTCTTATATTAGATACTAATGAAGATCGCTAATCCAATTTAATATAAAAACACACACTATAAGTAAAAAACCTGAAACTAACATATATATATATATAGGTAGGTCTCCACTACATTTGGAACAGGATTGTATGTTGTGCAAATACAAGTTTTGTGAAAACGCAAAGAGATTTCTTAATACTTACGTTTATATCTATTTCGTTCTTTCTGCTCTATTTTAGTTACGTTTCATTTCTAAATCCGAACTAGGTTAAACAAAAAAAACGTATTTTTTTTAACGTATTTTTTTTATTACGTAACATTCATAAAAACAATAGCTCGCGGCTCCGCCCGCGTGGATGTCGATTTTATAAATTTTACTGAGGGCAAACCTTTTCTGAACTTCCACGAATAATTCAAGACAAAAATTAGCCAAAATGGTAAAGGCATTGTTGAGTTATAACATTACAACGAAAAGTGGCATTGATTGTTATATACATATAGATTTACTAAAATAAAGTTCTATAGACGTAATGAACTTCGTAAAAGTATAATACACTAACATTTCATCGAAACAGGTTAGTTTTTAGACATTCTTATATCTGATCTCCCAAAAAGTTATGGCCTCGTGTCTTTACAGCGATCAATATATGGAAAGAGGAACATAATACAATGGACATTCTGATCGATGGCCCTCGGGCTGCCCAAGTGGCTGGAATACTCCATGAAAGGGACATATCATATTCAATAGCCATACCAGATGTGGCAGCCCTGCTTGAAAGGGAACAGGGCAATGCATTGACGAAGAAGGTCTTCAAGAAGTCTTGTGCTGTCCGTTAGTACAATTTTCAATTTTTGCAACTTTACATATTAACTTATTATTTTAGACTAATAGCTTATCAATTAAACAAATGATTATTGCTTATATCTTTCCATTTTAGTTGTATTAGGTGCTTATCTAATTTTACATTAACGAGTTGCTTATTTCGCCTGATTGATTTTTTCCGATGAATATATGGAGTTTGTCTTTTATAAAAATCTTGCCCTAACAATAGCATATGTAATTGAATAATTTTTATTATCCCATTTTTAGTTTAGTTGTGTCAGAGTATACTCTGAGCTCGCGAGCTATAGTTTGCAATACTAGTATATAGGGTGACAGGCCGATATTATAAACAACTTTTCCAAAGAAACTTTTTACTTTACTCATTAGTTATTTTTTTATTACTTCTTCTAACAAACTTCGCGCGCCCGCCGTGCGTCGCCTGATCAGCTGTTGCAACGAAACCCTGCACGTCCTCGTTTGAACTTTGCTCTTCCCTTAGTATTTTTTATAATTTTTTTCTTGGGATAGTGGTTTATTACCATAAGTATTATGACGTATTTAAATATCGGTCACTAATTACAAGTCAACCTATATACATTGCATTTGTCTGCATCATATTTTATTTATATAATTTACTAATGATTAACAATACAAATTCCTAACTTAACTATTACATAGCGAGCAATTAAGCAATCAAATTACACTAACAGTATTACATTAATTAGTACTATTAACAAATTAAAACGTAATGAACTCAGTATTATGATAGCCGATCCAGAGCGTGTGGTCACAAATTAAATGATTGGCCGAATACAACGATTAGTGAAATAAAACCACAAAGTAATCATAAAGTAAGTGACGTTCGAAACGAGCGGTTTATTTTAAACAAAATAGTTTTTAATAAAAATAGTCTAAAGCATAAATAAATCTTCCTGCTAAAGTTATAGAAGTGATTTTTCCTTAACCGTTTTGCTATAATATTAGACGTGTATCTAACTATATTTTCTAGATCACAATATGGATTGGCAGAACTACCACCAATTGGAAACCATTTATGCCTTTATGGACAACTTGGCTGATGAATATCCGTACTTGTGTGAAGTTAGTGTTATCGGGAAGTCTTACGAAGGAAGGGATATTAAAGTAAGTGTTTTATACTATTTTGTTTTCATTGTTAACCAGAGCCCTTGATTTCCTCTACATATTACTATTACCACAATTTACATGCTTGGCAAATGGGTTACAGTTCAAAAGATTCATAATGCAGAGAGCGAGCACGGTCTCTGTCAAATACGTTTCTTGTTTCTATGATTGTGGGAGAGCCATGCTAAGCGTGAGAGAGCCATGCTTTAGCACTAATGGGCCGGCTCGACCGAAGTGATACCACGACTACGGTAACAACCACAGCATTGTGTTTCGCCGTCTGAGTGAGGCTACCGGGAAGCCCCTTTCTTTCCCTCCACAAACAAACCTAACCTTCTCCTAAACCCTAATCCCCAAAAGGTCAGGAGCGTACTCATAACACCTCCGTTGTTGCGGGTGTCTATGGGCGGCGCTGATTGCTTACCATCATACAATACGTCTGCTCGTTTGCCGTACTTAATATGAAAAATGAGGTTGGCGAAAAAATTCTTCTACCGCCACACGGTAACTCCATGTACAGCAGGTTAATCAATGTATTTTCCTCATTTTCGATTTCAAATAACCACATTTCCCTATTATTGTTATTTTGTTTTGTACTATTATGAAATCCCAAGTTGATAACAATTGCTATATTGACATCATGACCTACCTACGCGTGCGAAATCACTTCAATTTTAATGCAGAAATAAATTATATTTTTAGACCTCTATGCGTATCCTATACTTTAATTTGAAATTCTGCCCAATTACAGTGGTATTATTTTTTAGTCAGTTGCTACTCCCGGTAAACTCTACTCAATAGTCACAGATCCTAAGAAATCTTGACTAATTTTTAATGTCCCAAAAAAAAAGATCTTGGTTGTTTGGATCTTGCCTATGGAAGGTCCTCGTATCGATCCTTTGAGAAGATTTTTATTCAGCTCCGAACGTCTTTAGCAGTATTATTTATTTATTTTATTTATTTATACACTTTATACAAAAACATGTAAAAAATATGACGATGATGATGCACTTTTGAGCACTCATTCAAGGGATGCAATCACCTTAATCAATTAATAATTTTGTGCAGATGCTGAAAATATCAAATGGTAACGAGAAGAATGCAGGGGTTTGGCTGGACGGTGCGATACATCCTCGGGAGTGGATCAGCCCAGCAGTAGTCACGTACATAGCTGATAGAATCGTCAGAACATTCGATGAGCAACCAGAGAGCGTCACCAATAAGGACTGGTAAGAATTATTCTACGATTCACGTAAATCTTCAAACATCGTGAGGAAACCTGGATTTATGATTTATAATTATAAGTTTGAAATCGCCAATCTACCTTGAGCAAGCCTGATCAATGCTCTAACCTTCTCCGTGTGAAAAGATGCCTTGCCACTGCAGTGGGCACATAAAGGCTGAAAAGACACTTTTTGTTGAATCTTCAAAGATTGAAATATAACTTTTATGTGCTTAGTTAAATAAGCTATTTTAGGCCTATTGTAAACTAGAAAGATAAGAAGAAAACAAGACAAGCACAGACTACATGGTAGTACGTAAATGTATTAGATTATGATAACCCCCATCAGGGTATATGTCCTAAGACCGCGCCGAAATTGGTTTCAGTTCAGCTAATGCAAGGCATGGCCTTGGTCCCTTACATAAACCCAAAAAATAATAATTTAACAACGTAAGTGTAAAAAAGAAGGATGTTAAAAAATATGGTTTTGCTCCAGCACTGGTCTATTGAGAAGACCCACTAATCATAATAGTTGTTGATGGTTGTTATCTAGGTGGTTAGAGTAAAATGAGAATCCCACAATTCTAAATTGTTCCCCATAATTCAGACGACTTTTAAATGTTCCACTTCTTTATTGTAAAAGTTTTTTTTTTAATGTGATAGGACGGCAAACGACCCGACGGATTACCTGATCGTAAGCAATCGGCGTCGCCAATGGAACGCAACAAAGAAGGAGTTACGAGTGCGTTGCCGACCTTTTAAGGATTGGGATTTTGGGGATTTTGGGATTGGGAAAGGATTTGGGTAGGGGAAAGATTGGGCCTCCGGTAACCTCACTCACACGGCGAAACACAATGTTGTGGTTGTTTCACGCCGGTTTTCTGTGAGGCCGTGGTATCACTCCGGCCGAGCCGACCCATTCGTGCCGAAGCATGGCTCTCCCACACTTAAATCTTGTACTTAAATTAGATCTTGTCTAGTGTAGTCATATTTCTGCATATCATGATTTTCTTTAAATGCAGGTACATACTTCCAGTGATGAACCCAGATGGCTATGTTTACACTCACACCCATGATAGAATGTGGCGGAAGAATCGAGCGCGATACGGAGAATGCGTGGGCGTCGATCTAAACAGAAACTTCAGGTGAATTTGCTATAATAATACACTATTATATATTTATTCTCTTTTAAAAAGCGTTGCCACACAACGGTTTTCTCCTGTATTTACAAATTGACACCATATTTTCACACTACAACACACCCAGATCCGAATCATCAATTTGTGGATCACAAAAAGAGATGGTCCATGCAGAAATCGAATCCGCAACACGTTGCGCGGCAGCCAGTTGCCCAGCCGCAATAATGAACATATCCATATACCCCACATACTTACTGCCTTCTGTCCCCCAATCTCACCCTAATCCCTAAATCCCCAATACCCTAATACTCAAAAGGTCGGGAACGGACTCGTAACCTCTCCGTGGTTGCGTGTGTCCATGGGTGGCGCTGATGACTTACCATCAGGAAATCCTTCCACTGCCGTCCTATCAAATAAAAAAGATCTTCCGTTTTTCTATTTTCCATCCCGTTTTCTGCTTTAAGTGTATTCTATAAACTGTTTATCATTAAATAATTGCTCCAGCTACGGTTTTGGTGAGAAAGGAGAAGAAGGATCTTCAGATGACCCTGGTAACGTGTTTTATAGAGGACCAAAAGCCTTCTCCGAGCCTGAGACTGCTGCCGTTAAGGTTGGTAAAATGTTCTTATTATAACTATACATACGTACAATGGTGTCGCCATCGATAGTGTTACTGGAACACAATGCTTAACTCTCACACCTTTCTAAAAATTTCTTTCATTACGATAAACTTCATAAATAAATAAACACATTTAAAACAGAATTATCGGAATTGATCTAGCCGTTCTCGAGTGATGTCATGATCTAGGGAAATTGGAATTTTTAGGAGATGATTTTTTTGACGAGGCAAAATCTTATAAGGTAATAAAGTATGTGCGACATATATGTCGGTGCATTTTTATCGAAACTTTTGTTAATGATTAAACAAATTTTCTTGAACAAATAAAGCTGTATAGGTATACGACTAAACATGTTCATCCATTCGACGTTCAGTCGTAATAAATTATTATATTTTCCAGCGTCAGATACTAGAAGCTAACACGACGTTCAAGGTCTTCATATCATTCCATAGTTACGGAGAAGTCATCATATTCCCATGGGGCTACACAAGTGAACCTTGTCCTGACTACGTCGACCTGCTCGAAGGAGGCACCGCCATGGCAAAAGTGAGAAGAATGAACTTTATTACGTTACAATATACAGTCGAATATCTATTAAAGAAGCTTGACCGAATGGTTTCGCAGTTTGTTGAGCTGGCGTTTATCAATTAGCTATAGTTTGGCCTTGATGGTTGATAATGCTTCCGTTTTTTATTTTGTGGGGAACATCTCCAAATGTGTAATTTGACTCTTACTGGCTATATTTTCCTGCACCCAGGTCAAGGCCGCGGTATATTATTGCGCTTTACCTGCAACCCTGTCCGAATGCTTCCGTCTGTTTTCCTTACACCAAGCTTAATCTCACCACCATTTTGCTCCAATCTTTTTCCAGGCCATCTTTAACAAAAGCGGTCGCACATACAAAGTTGGAAGCACAAAAGACCTTATGTACTATGCAGCAGGGACGAGTGTCGATTGGAGCTACGCTGTCGCCAATATCCCTTACTCTTACATGGTGGAACTCAGAGGAAAGACACACAAATTCTTGTTACCTAAAGAAGAAATAATTTCTACTGCCACAGAAATATTTAATGGTATTGAAAGACTTATGGAGTTTGTGGACAAAAGATGTACAGGAACACAGTCAAAAATAGAAAATTAACATTTACTAGAATCCCCTTAAGTCTCAAAACCAAAAGTAACTCTATCGTTGTAAACATACTCGAAAAGAAACCTTCACTATCTTAACACAAGGATGGAATTAAAGTGTATGTGACAAGAATAAAACTTCAATGTATCAACTTCAATAGATTGGATCATTTCTTTGAACAGTAAAATTGTAACCAATAAAGTTTTATTATATTCACAAAAGGAGTTTAAACACAGACTTTCTACTGCCCTTTTTGGCTTTTAACTATGACCAATTTTCATTCCTGGTATTCTAATAACATGATAGAACCTTTTATGAAATCTTTGAAGAAACAAGTTCTTGGAATATTGTGATAAATATGACGTAAATAGTGTAAATAATAGACCTGTTTATACATTAAAAATAAATATTTGATGTACAGAAATTAATGAAATGCTCGCACGTAAATACACGGCGATAAAACATTTCATTTCCATACATTGATAATGCCTGGACGCAATGACCTGTGCCAAATAGCTCGCGCTGTGGTTTTGACTATAATGGACACAATCCAAAACTTTTTACTCGCGCAGCTTTATAAAATATTTATTTTTGTGGCTACGTTTTTATGAATAAATCATTGTTATAGTACTATTATACACACATTGACCCCTGTACTGTAATCAAGTAACATTTTTCTCAAATAAAACATTCCAGTATAAAAATTTCGATAACTTTATTTACAGTTTTTGCATTATCTTATAATACAGTCAACAATTCATTAAACATTACGATTTGAAATTCACATTCAGTTACCTAACGTAAAAACACCTATCGAGTGACAATAAACACTAAAGTAATCCTATCCTTAGACGCGCACAGTGAAGTGTCTGAATGTCTCACTCGGGACGGGAATGCCGAACGTTTAAAGTTAAAACTGTCCACTACACGTATTATCATAACCATCGTCATTTAGAAATCCACTTAGTAACACTTGAAATTAAAGTTCACAATTCTCTGTATTTACAATTTCCTAGTTATTCTTCACATTTATTACTAATTCTGCAAAAGGAAAAGATAAGATGCCTCGAACGTCTCCAAAATTTTCTTTTGGTATGCATAGAGTATTCTGTACATCCATAATGATACATACCAGTGGACAGTAGACTTCTCCTAAATTGCCACAAACACTGACCTAGTATGGACGCCACACATCGACAGGTCGTCTTTCTGACGTGATGAGGGATTTACTGCGAGTCCTCATCCCTTGTTCTGACCACTCCGGAGAGGCTGGACGTTTTTTCCCCGTCCCTGATGCGGTTGACCCTTCGTCTTCTCTCTCTGGACTGGAATTGTTGGAGTCTTCTTGTGGTGGTGGCGGTCTTAACCACCAGTCATAGCCTCCGTAAAGTTGGGAGTATAACCACGCAGGAGGTGTCGGCAGTAGGGGGGAGTTGAGGAACAACTGAGCTGCAAGTGCACTGTGGAAAAGACTAGATGGCGCTGGTAACGGCTGCATTGGTTTCCGTGTTCTAGTGACTGATGTAAAGGCCCCAGGACGGTCGTCGGGTGGTGGAGAGCTGGATGCGGTGACTGAGATGTCGTCGTCTTGGGGCGAGCTTGGACGCGAGTTAGCTGGACTCGTTGTACTGTGCGCGTGCATTGTTATGGGATTGTCTGACGTCACGTCTAGAAAAATGATTACAGTTATAAGTCCATTCATACAAAAAGAGAGATAGTTACATACAAAAGAGAGATAGTTACATAAAGAGAGATAGTAAAAAGAGAGATAGTATAGATACAAATTCATTAATAAAATGTAATTACCAGTCTCGTGTGTTGGAGGAGGTACATGTTGGGGCTGCGCGTGCGGAGGCAGGACGTGCGGCGTAAAATGCGCCGGAGTGGGCAGCAGGGGAGGTGGGTAATGACGCGCTAGTGCTCCCCATTCACTGCCCGGCAGACCCGCTAGCTGATGGGCTATACCTGAACAAATAAGAAAACAATTTCTATAAGTCCTCATTAAAACTTGCTAACCAAACAGTCTCATCAGGCCCTAGTTTCCACCCTCAGCCTGCTCAAAATTCAATCAACAAAACAATAGCGTTAAGAGTTATCCCGTGAAACGCTCCACTAACGCTAACGCGCTACTTAACGCACTCATCAGAATATTTAAATAATGAGTGAGACGAGCCCCCCTCGCGGCTTGTACACTTCGCGCCTTATCGCAGACGACACTCCTCAATTGTTGAGCTCTATTCATCCCGACTGTTCATATTGTGGATTCAAGTTTACCTAAAGTTTCTAAATGTATAAATGTGTTGAATATTCTATTTAAATTATCATTTTCCTAAGATTACATCAGGCAAAATCTGATCAAATATATCAACAGACTTACTTACATTATTATTTTATTGTAAGTAACATGTAAATAAACAAAATAAAGTATTTATCACAACAATCACAATCATACAAATAGGAAATGTGTTTTGGCGTCATAATTTTCAGTTGACATTTTTAAGCGCATAAATTAACAAAGTTTGCAGGCGCCGCGACCCCGTATATTCGGCTTAACCCTTTAGCACCCACCTTGGGTAATTCCCACCCCGAGCCAACCCAACCCTTTCAGCAATAGAATAAATTACAGGCCGTTTTATGTCGCAGATACCGACGGTACGAAAATGTAAAACACATTATTTTGAATCCGACCGCTTAGCCTTTATAGGTGTAGTGCTTTATGAGTTCGTTGCAATTAGACAAGAGCTGCTTTTTAGGATTAAGCCGGGCTTAATCTTGCCTCGGAGCGCCTCACGGCTTTTACGATAATGATTTGAGATATCGAATCGCCGGCAGCCGGTTAACTAGTCTATTATCGGCGAAGGGTCTTCATCGTAAAGTTTGGAACTGATTGGAATATGATTTTGATTATCTTTTGATTATAGGATTCTCATTAATTTACTACTCAAAACTGAGTACCTAGCAGTGTGACCATTTAATGGACTGTAGAAGTATTTAGCCATTAAGTGCCATAGTCTGTCATCAATGAACAATCCAAAGACTTTAATAAGTACAGTAAGTGGACGCGAGCCGAGTAGCCGAGCACTCGGTATTCAAAGCTTTCTTCTAGCTAAGAGCATCCGTAGCTCAGACAATATCCGCATTGCTCGGGACGCAAAAAAATAACATTAAAGCTCAAGATTACTCGCTGGCTCGCGAACCCAGATTATTCTTCACAGAGTCGAGAACAATGTTTGTGGAGTAGAAAACCTATTGCTTTCTATATTTTTTTTTAGGTATTTATTAATAGCAAAGTAGCACTAAATAAAATTGCAATGCGTAACTAAAATAAAATAAAATGAAATTTGTTATAGATTATATCATTGTCCCTTCATCTTGGCGTCACGCGTGAACGACTAGACCGATTTCGATAATTCTGTTTATACTAAGTCTGCTAAGCTTAGAATAATAAAAAAGTAGTAGGAACAATCTTTAAATACCAAGTCTTTGAAGTCTGTAGTGGTTCGCAATCTAAACAAATTTCAATGTCTGACACTGAAGTTCCTAAGCATGCATGCAAAGAAAAAATCTATTAGGAGTAATCGTATGTGGACTAATTTCATACATTGAGAAATTGTTAAGTGAAAAGTATTCTCTTACGTATTACTCATATTGGAGTGCTGTTATTATCACCAAGATCAATGCCATTTAAGGGTTATTGACTAAAGATTAGTTTATTTGATAGTTGTATTTACAAAAAAATAAAAAATCACACAGATTTTACTTCAGAAATTCGATTTCTAACAGGGTTTTTCTAAAATGGATTTGGTCTACTGCTTGAAAAATGGTAAGATAATGTTTCATTGTGTATTCTGTGTTGAAAAATTCACAAGAAAGGGCAGCACTAGACGATTTGCATTCGTTAAAAAATGTTGGAATTCTTTGTTGTGTGCACGATGCGTAATCGCTGTGTACCGCGATGAAACAATATTGAGCGCGGTATGAACTTACGGTTGCAATGAAATAAATTATGTTATTTTAAGCATAAGATTTACTCGTTAAATTTGTGCAAATATTTCTTTGACATCTTTGAATCAATTAATTGGCATTAATTTATTGAAGTGATTATATAAGATAATCACAATATTAGTGCATCAGTAGGAGTATTTTTTTTTCTTTTGATTCTCAGTTAGCTCCTGATTTCAAACCAGATTTTGGTAACATAAATCAGATATCATAATTATTATTAGCAAGGCAAAGATGTTCGTTTCATCCACTGATTTTATACAGAACCTCATTTTCACCAAAAGTATCAAAACGTTGAGCTCACAGTAGTAGTGGATTGGCCGCATCCGAAGACGTGCCAGTCCGCTACATTGCCCCGGACGAAGGGGTTTTTTCTTCTTTCTTCGACTTTGAAAAATCGCACCGCGCCGCGAGAGGGTTGAACCCAAACATTTTAATGCCATTTGCTAGATTGCGTCTTGCATTTTTTCCTGCCGCCGCCCGATACTACAGCGCTAATCCGCGAAGACGACTGGGATTACACGGATAAAAGTATTTACGTTTTTAGTGTGATTCCAATGTGCCGGGATTAGGGCGGAATTTTTTAACGGCTCTTTGAGACCCTCGGTGATTAGAGAAAGGGTTGGAAGCACTTCCCAGTAATTATTTTACATTTCTTCGAACATCGTTTATAGCGCACTTAGTTGAGCGGCTTCCCTTTTTTTCTTTTGTTTGTAACAACTTCAATTGGAATGACTTACACAGGGACCAATAATGCCCTCGTGATCTGTTAAGCACATTATCAAGTTTATTTATCTTTATGAACCTTTTTATCATAGCTTTTCGGGATTACCGACTACGTAAATAAGCTAATTATAGCATTAGCTTGTTTACTACATATAAGTTAGTATCTTATGACAATTTCCCTCTAAGCCCACTTTAATATACATAATTATGTAAGTATGTCTCATTTTAAGCGTCACTTTCAATACGCTCTGCTTCTAGCAGAGGATAGAAATAACTTTTAATAA